CTATTGGTGTACAGATAGAAAAAAAAAAAAAGAAAAAGAAAGGCAGCCATACATGGGGAGAAAATATCTGCAATATATGTATATATATCTAACAAAGAACTGGGCAAAAGAGTCAAACAGGTCCTTCATCAAAAAAGAACTCAAGAGTGGCTAATCACACAAAAAGATGCACATTATTAGTTATCAAAGAAATACAAATTAAAGCTACAATTTCATACCTCTCACTAAAATGGCTAAAATTCAAAAGTCAGACAATACCAATTGTTGATGAGAATGTTAAACAGTCTGGAACTCTCCTATGTTGCTGGTCGGAGTGTAAAATTGTATAAACACTTTGGAAAACTCGCAGTTTCTTACCCTATGACCCACCAATTTCACTCTTAGGTATTTATCCAAGAGTAATAAAAATATATATCTAACAATGATGTATATAAGAGTATTCACAGGAGATTTATTTATTTTGGTGTTCCCAGTTTGGGAACACCAAAATATCCATCAATGGGAGATTTTAGATAAATAAATTATGGTATGTTCATACTCAGCATTAAAAAGGCAGCAAACTACTGATACATACAACAACATGGATGAATCTCAGAATCATTATGAATGGACAAAGTCAGACAAAAAATAGTACTAACTGTTCATGATGTTCAAGAACAAGCAAAACTATGCTGATAGAAATCAGAACAGTGTTTGCTTCAGGGTGGGGAAGGATTGACTGAAGAGGGCATGGGGGAATTTCCTTGGGTGATGGAAATGTTCTATATCTTGATTGATGTGGTTAAAGGGGTGTATACATTTGTCAAACTCATTGAACTGTACACTTAAGATCTGTGCATTTCACTGTGTGTAAATTGTATAAATTGAACTTTCAAAAGGGTATTATTTTCCTACCAAATGATTCCTTTTTCCTATTCAAAAATTTGTTCTTACTCCAAGAATCGTCTTCAAACTGTCTTATAATCCACAGTAGCTTGGAATTCTCTCTTTATATTTTTCAGCCTTTGTTTTACTTACGTTATCAACATTATACAATTTAAGAGTTAATCATATACTTTTTTGTTTTATTATCTATTGTTTCCTGGTGTCAATATTCTTGATCCTTAAGCAGATCTCAGTTACTGAGAAAGATGTACTAAAAATTCCAATGATAATTGTGTGTTTGTCTATGTCCCCATTAGATTTTTTCACTTTCTGTTTTATATAGTTTAAGATTGTGTTATTACTTAGGTACATACAAATATATAGGATTTTTATATCTCTTTGTTGGATTTACTGTTATCATTATGGAATATCCCTTTTCATCTTTAGTAATGCTTACTACCTTAAAGTCTACTTTGATTAATATAGCT